CTCTCATTAATTTCATCAAGGACACTGCACACTGCTACCTCAATGTTTGGGCCAAGTTTCTCGTGCTTTCTTTTAAGAACTTCTGAAATCACTGAAAATATAATCAATGAGAGTAAGTTAAGCAAAAATATAAAAGTACCAGAAGGATCCTTGAAATTCACTTTAACTTTAGTTGGTGTAAGCATCTGTACAGTATTTTCTCCTCCTCCACTATTAGGTGTCTCAAAGTATAACTGAAGTGCAAATGCATTTCCAACAATATTTTTTTCACTTATACCAGATACAACGATACTGTGATTAATGTCACAAAGATCAACATTCAAATAGTTCTCATGTATTTGCTGTGATGCCAGAATTTCTGCTATTTTCTGGAGTTCTGCTTGTCATGAAAACCATATAAGATAATATTAACTTATTACTTCTATACCTTCTTTTTCATAGTGATGAGAAAGTAACAAAAGTGCTAAAGGTGCCTGTAAGTTTAATGTAAATTCTCTCTCAAATTCTAAATCAAGGCAGCCTTCAATTAAAGCAATCAGAGTTTTCTCTTTCGTTTCTTTTGGAATGTTTTTAAGAAGAATTTTGTCCCTCTCATACTTTTTTGAATCTGGGACTGGAGCATAGCAAACATGAATTTGTGATCCTCTAGTAATCATATGCTTTTCCTGAGCAATGACAGCAGCAGCATCTAAAAATAAATGTACTAAGCATCAAACTTATGTGTAGATTTAAGTGCATACCATCTACTGATTTGAACTTGACATGCACAGCATTTGTGTCAACTTTTGTAACAGATTCAACTGATTTGGTTCTATTTCCTCCTGATCTCCTTCCCGCAAAATAAAATTTTAGTGTTTCAATATCATCTTCACCAGATACTTTTATAGTGTCCCACTGGAGCTCCAGTTGATCTTTATGAAGCGAGACTGATATAAATGTTTCCTTAATACTGTGATTTTTTTTCAGAAGCTCATCAATATCTATTTATTTTATCATAATGACAAACTAAAATACAGCTGTTATAATTTATTTAATTTTGGGTCCAAAATAGCTTTCTGTTTTTAATACTAACTATAAGGATGAATGCAATTTAAAATTTCTATGCACTACAGAAAAGAGTAGAAATTAAGGAATTTTGAAGTAAAATTATAAGCAGTGAAAGGCACAGCGACCTGAGATGATAATGGAAATGAATGACAGAGATAGAAAAAATTGGACAAAAATACTGGTAGGTCAAATTATGATAGGGAGAAAGGATACAATTGCTACAGAACAATACAAGCACTGCATATTTCATTTTACAGGTTCTATTATTGTGAATTTCCCATTTTGAATGATTTAGTCTCACAAAGCTAGAGGAAGGGTCTGGCCCACAAGACTAATACATAAAAGTTGTGCTGTGTGAGCATTTATGCCTTTCTGAACATCATTTTAAGTATGAATGCAATAGAGGGATTGTTTAGTAGTCACCATCTCAATAAATCATGGCTACATGTATGGACACTTGAGATAAAAGATATTTATAGCTTTCTAAAAATAGATTCATTGTTTACTCCCTATTCCAGGAAATTATAAACCTTAGCTGTTTACTTAATAGCGTAACTATAGTCAAAACATGCATTCATGTACATGCCACTTAAACCCAACATATAAATGCACTAGAAAACTCAAGTTGTTGCTAGCAACTTTTGTGGTTGCTAAAAATGATATAATAAAGACAATCTTGTAAAAGGTTACTGCATTAATTGACCCCAGTACTGGTTTAGCTCTGCCAGGAGTACTAAATCAGGCCAGCAAGAGTACATAATTTTATAGGGCTGTCTGTCTGTTGGCTGGCATTAAATTTGATCATTGATGCACACTTTAATTGTAACAGCCACATAACCAACTGGACCTTGGGTGTTGTGGGGGACTGGTGTCAGCCCACATGCTGTTTTGATTATACTTTGAATGCTGAGTCAGTTTTGCTGTATAAGTTTGGCATCAGTTGTCTAATTAAATTTTGCCAAGGCAGATTGGCTATTGGCCTCAATGTGCCTTGGCCAATACAATTAAATTAGCTTGCAGTGCTGAAATAAAAGAATTCAAATGTTGAATTTGATATATCTCTTCATTTTATTGTGGCATAAAATTTGCACTATCTTATAAATTTTTTTAGACCTTTACCACTACTGCAATGAGTATTATTAACGAGCCACAATCTTGTAGCATAGATGATGGGCAAATTCAAAATTGCAGTATTTCCAAGTGAACTGTCCAAGGGAGACCAATTTGTGTGAATCAGAGATATCATTTTATGCTGCTTTAAGTAGTCATGCAGAAGATTGTCATGCTTATTCATAAAAGAATTGCAAAGGTTCATCAAATGGTAATGAGTGCTAGAAAAATGGTAATGAGTGCTAGAATAAAATATAGAACACCTAAATTGTTTTGGGAATGTTATGTGAATGGTCAATGTAATCAAGCATAGAACTGTTTTGACTGTACATCTATCCCACAATAATGGCTGCTCATTAATCATAAATTATTCACTATTATTGTGAGGGTCTGTTTGCTAACTAATGATGCAGTAGAAGATGATAATGTTTCAAAATTAAGCTTACTAACGACATGTTTAAAGGTTGGTTTGACTGATCATGTCATAAGTTGCATGCATTTTTACCGTCATATAGGCTGAATAGGAAGTCAGTCTGGCCTACCCACATACACACTGGCACTCAATTGGAACAGCCTATTTTAATAAAATGGCACTTATCCTTACCTTTTACCATAATTACAGCAACGGCACTATTATTCCCTTGTAACAAGACTTCCTTCACATCGCATTCACACTCATCGCACAAATAATTCCTCACATTGGCAGTCGAAGTGCTAACTGGTAAGCCTGACAGCTTAATATGAAACAGTAAGGCCTGTGCCTCTGTAATAATGAAAAGTAAAGAGTTTTGAAATAAACATTGCTTGTTTCTCACCGTCTTTGTCATCCATCCTTCGCGATAATGAGGTTTATCTCTGTCGATCGACGCTAGCAAGACTCCTCCTCTTTTTGACTTTCCGCCGGATGCGACCCACCTTCTGCAGTAAAGAAATTTTCAGTGTGCTCTGCAGTTTTTGTTTTGTAGACCAGAATTTCTAGGCTAATATGAAAAGACCCTCTCTCCAAAAAGATTCAGTTAAAGAGGTCAGCTAAATGGCTAAAAGAGAATTTTTTATTTTTTATTTTTTTTCTGTTGTGCATCAACTTTGAGCTAAATCCAATCAAATTTGGATTTTTTATAGTGCTGGGCGATATTGAAAATTTTGAAACGATACGATATGATACGATATTGCCTAAAAATGAGGATATCGATATTCTTTATCGATAAGTTATTAAGCCACACCCATTAACTTTAATATTACTAAAATGGCTAAATAAAGCTATTTCTGAGAACAATTATTATTGAAAAACATTATAAAAACATTCTTTGGCTTCATAATACTTCAGCTACTTCATCTACTTTCCAAGAAAATACATTCTAGTAATTTTTGAGATGTTACTCCTATAGTTAATTAACCATTTATTAAGGTTATGTAACCATTTTGTGGGTGTGGCCTCGTTATCGATATTTTCTTCAAATTTTTTCGATATTGATAAGTATCGATACCGCATTATATCGATTAAATATCGTGAGTTTTGATATATCGCCCAGCACTAATTTTTTATGAATTTTTAAAGTTGCTCAAAAATTGGGCCAACAACCAAAGGCTAGCCCAAAAATGACTAGAAGAGAATTCTTTATTTTTATAATTTTTTCTGATACATATACATACATGTTAGTTGCATGGATGCATTCAAACTAATCCAAAGAAGTGTGCTGCCATTTTGGTTTTTGTTGCACCCTGATGCTCCTTCCTATAGTACTTAGGGCTGTGGTATAGCTGTTCCTTCTTTTCATCCTTATAGAATAATCCTTGGCCAAGGACATGTTTTCAGGTTGTCCCTCTCTTGTTGATGTTACAATACCTGACGTAAGTTACACACCAGGGGTGGATCTAGGATTTAATTTTTGCGGGGCAATTATGAGATGGGTGGAGTAATTAGGGGGTGTGATCAAGTAAGCTTGTGCAGAACTCTATTATCTTTACTCTATTATTTATGGCAGAACATAGATATTAGAGTACTACTCTGATTATTACTAATTAAATTATAGTATATTAAATTAATTAAAAATTATAGATATTACTCTAATATTTATGTGCAGAACCTATGCAGAACATAGATTTACTCTAATTTTCCATAGATTTACTCTAATATCTATGGCAGAACCATGGCAGACCTTTTAGGAAAGTCAAAATTATGAAGACTCAAGGCAGATTTACAATATTACGTTAGTCCTGACATTACGTTGACGCAGGAGTTGAACTCAGTTCAACTCTAACGTAAAGCATGCGTGAAAAGGTCAAATTGCTCATGCTTTTGATTAAAAGTTGACAGTACATTGGCCTAGCATCATATCGTAAATCCACCTGCTAAAATGAGCTCCTTGGTGGTTTAAAGATTGTTTACATAGTCAAGTACTGCAGCTGCTTCACAGTTTATATAGGTAAAACTAAGTTTACGTTACTCCATAAAAATTTTTGGAGGGGCATTGCCTCCCCTGACCCCCTTAGATCTGCCACTGTTGCACACTTTTATTGTGCTTCTGCTTCTTATAAAATAAAAATAAGTTTACAATTTGTGGTGACATACATGGATATAGTATTATGATCTTTATAATATATTTGAACTCAATGGCATACCTTCAATGGAGAATCCTTATGTATCATAATAATGATAGCAATACTAATACTACTACTACTAATAATAATAATAAATAATTTAGTGATGTAGTGTTATAGAATTTCCAAGTATTGTACATGTACATGATATTGCATTATTACCTTAACTCTTGTGTGTGTGTGATTGTATTTTTAGCTTTTTAATGGAGATTTTGTTGATCGTGGATCCTTCTCTGTGGAGGTTATTTTAACTCTCTTTGGTTTTAAGGTTTTATATCTTAATCTCTTTTACTGATAAGAAGTTTGAAATATACTGTATATTCATTATGTATGTATAATATGAATATTTATTAATACCGTATAGCAGGAAATTTTTGTTGCCAGAAACTTTCTTCATCTTGCTTTACAAGATATTTTTGTTGCGTTTTGCCTAACATAAATTTTCACTGTCACGCCCACTTTATTAGTGCCATGTCTATTGTTTAATGGAAGAATGTCTATGGTTTGTGGTTACCACATTTATAAAGACATTTGGAGCCCATCAGTTGGAGAAGAACTGCCCTTCTGTGTCGAGCCTGATGATGCTACAGATCGCTATGCTGTGGCTGTAGTGGAAAAGGGTGTGTCACAAATTTTAGTTAGATTAAATTTTCAATATCTATAAATTTTGTTCAAAATTTTGGCCAACGAAACAAATACAAATTAGCACTCAACAAAAATTTCCTGCTATACAGTAGCTATTACATATACAGCCCTATATAAAACCATATGAATATGAATTTGGTATTTGAGATTTTAAGTGTTGTATTTCACTTTCTGTTTGGTACATGTAGACT